GTGGGGACCGTTTGTCCGTCCACGCCCCATTTTTCCAGCGCCAGCCTGTGTCCCCGAGCCCTCGCGGCAGGCCCTGGCTGCGGGCGCGCTCCCCCCTTCCGTGTCTTCACCGCCCTTTCCCGGGGGGCCGGGTGGAGGGAAGCGTGGAGGCTGGTGGGGCGCCAACCCCCGAGCTCAGCTCCCTGGGCTGCAGCGCCGCGGTGGAGAGGTGGTCAGTGGCTGATTGAAACTCGGTGCAAAATTGCCAGGGCTTTTTTACCTACTGAAATGGTTTACCAAGGCTGGGCCTGCCATTTGTACTGAGATTTTGGCGAGAGCAACGCCTGAGTCCACACGGTAACACGAGCAGCTAGGCCAAGCGGCCCCCGCGCCCTTCCTGCCTCCCCGCCCCCGCCCCTGAGAGCTCGGGCTCCCCCCGCCCCGCCCTCTCCGAGCGGGCCTCCACCCCAGCCCCCACCCCTGGATGCGAAGCCAGCTAGCTTCTGCTGCAGGAGGACAGATTTCTGCCCTGCGGCTTCTTTCGATGAACCATCAGATTTCAGGAGTACACTTGAGAAAAGGGCTGATGGCGTTAACCAGGTTCTCAATATAGAACTGGATTTTTGGAGCTGTTGACTCCGCTCATCCCGGTGATAGACTAATGTAGTCATTGGTGGACATTTGTTTTCGCCACGAATAATTGAACCAGCGGTTTACATTGACAGTTTTCTCTGTGCTGGTGATTTTACGTGGCGGCCCTCTACTGCGGTTTTAAAACTTGTTGAGAACACAAACCCATTTTATTAAGGCTGATTCTATGTACTTCGAAAACCCGAAAACTTTGCATGTACTTTATGTTTTAATTATAGATGAACCTTGGACATTTTCTGTGGTAAGGTAGAAATTTTAAGTAAATTAGTTAATTGGCGTCAGAATGGAAAGAGGTAGTCGTGATGTTAAAAAAAAAAAAAAAGAAAAGAAAAGAAAAAGCCATATGGCCTAACTTCTTGATAGAAATAAGAGAAAAGTAGTTGGTTGGCGATCTGAATTGAAAACCTGTTAGAACTCAGGTCAGGCGCTTAAATGTGCTTTTAACAATATTTAAGGCTGTTTTGACGAATGCATTGTGAAAATCATTCTTAATGAATTCTTTATTGAATGTCTAAAACATAATATAATACACCAGATATTCTTGCCACTGGATAGTCTTCAATAAAAGTTTGATTTTTTTTTTTCGATCTCTTAAATAAGTCTTATTTTTAGCTAAGCATTGACAGAATATCTTAAAATGGTAACGGGGGGTGGGGGTGGGAGTTGTGTGCACGGCAGCCTAGCCAGTGGGGATCCTGCTGTTTATAACTAGTTCACAGACTCTGATGGCATTTTGGTAAGATGTACATCTTTTAAGAACTTGAACCAGCATTCTCTTATTAATCCTTTAAACTGTGGAAATCATTTCCAGTTCTTACACTCTGATGCATCCTTTTTATTAAAAAAAAATGCTAATAAAAGGCAGTGTACTTAAACTGTGCTTTGCAAATATTATGTATGTTATGAATGGCTACAGACAGTGGGCAAGTTATTTGTAGAATGATTATCCTTTAGCTAGGAAAAAAAATCATTACAACTCTTGGGCTGAGATGCTTCTTTTTAATGTTAATCAAGGGGAAGTGATTTAAATATGCATGCATGTAGCAGTCAGGACGATTTAGTTGTTTTTTCTTGAAAGAAAAAAGACTCAAAAGGCAAGACTTACTTTTCTCTTCTCTGGGAATTGAAACCCTAATCATCTGTTACTGGGGTAGTACAAGAAATTGACATTTGTTTTTCGCTTCAGGATTTAAATGGCTTGCCCAAGGAATCTGAGAAATGAAGCAAATAAGTTGCTCTATTTTAAAGTAGTCATTCAGTATAAATATATTATATCGATCTTAACTTTTTTATTCTCTGATATGATTAATAGTATGTATATTCTTACTTTTTCTTCTAATGGGCATATGTATCCTTGTGGACACTTTGGAGAGAGGTTTTCTTAGACTCTCCCATTTATAGAATCTTTATACTCTTTTACTGTGTGGGTCCCTGCTTTTAACAGATTTCTGAGGCAAATATATTTGTGCTTTTTTCTTATGTAGGAAGACCAGCGAAATAGTTCACTGAGTTGTCGATTTTATCAGTAGATAAGAAACTTTCTTTATTACAGTTTCAGGGAAGATTTTTTCAGGATATTTCTCAGTTATTCTAAGGGCCAAATTTTGTAAAATTTCCATAAGGAATGTCAGTTTCCAATACCCTTTGTATAGCCTAAGCCTGTGAGGTTAACAAGAATGAGCCTTACGTGTCCTTAACACAGGAATTTACAAGTTCCCAAAGTAACCGTCTCCATGCAACTCTTGACTTGCTTTTCTGCGATTTGGCTTTTATTTTCATTATTGGTTCTTTCTCACTGTTCATTCTATTTGATTTGACCACATCCTCTTTTATTTGGTTATCTGGAAAATTCCGCGTTTTGATAACAGCTCAGGTTTTTTTTTTTCCTTAACGTTTTGTTTTGGATTTTGCCCCTTTCTGTGGAGCCTGCGTTTTTAACCACAATAAAGATTAAACAAAATTTTTGAAACTGAGCTTTCTTCCATTTTACTTACTGCTGGCTTTTTTTCTCCCATCTTATCGTTATCTTTTTTTTTAAATTGTATTTTTTTAACACTACCTATATCCATTAGCTGCCTAATTAGTTTTTATCTATTCCATGTGGATGCAGTGAGTTTATAAGAGAATTTCACAAACAAGTAGTTTTTTAGTGAACTTAAAA